TTGCACTTGCACCGGCGGCCCCGGACTGGACAAAGGGATACGAAAATATTCCCACAAAGATCTTGATAAATGTTGGAAGGAATACTCATTGCAGCAGCAGAGCACACAAGTTCATGAAAACGCAGAGAGCACTTGGTAGTTTTTACCCTTTATTTTGATGGGCGACTGTTTTTTTGATGGAGACAAAATTATAACTAAGCCCTATCCAAACCAACTCCGACACACAGATCTGATAGCAACAATCATTATCAAATGTTTACATATAGTGCTTTAAATGCTCACCCACGAGTTCTGCCTATTGTACTGGTGTCACCACCACAGAAAACAGGATCCAGTAGAAACATGCACCAATGTTTATGCCCTGGATGACCTCAGACATACTGAGAATGTTGAAGTGGAACAGAGGTGGAAAGAGAGAGTTTATATCAGAATACAAGTATTTGAGTAGCTTAATCAATTATTAAAACAATATTAGTTAGCTTTGATTGAACAAGACTTTCTCACATTAATTACATGGTACTTGCATTGTTCACCCAATAATACATTTTTGGAGAAAATAAGAATTAACTTGAGCAACAAAAGTACTAATACTCAGACAGTAAGCAACACTCAGTAAGAATATTACAGTAGCAGATGTACCCAATGACCTTCCACCTCTGATTCTGAGTCACATATTATCACAATGCCACAGAAAAGTAGCAGATGAATAGTTTTACATTCATAAATACATAGCATATACAAAATCCAAACAGCCAAACAGTAACATTTAAATTCCTCTCACTAATGTCTAGTGAGTTTACAAAATCCTAATAATGTGATACCACTGCAGCACTTTCTGAAAGAAAAACACCACGGCTGAGCAAACTAATCTGTACATCTGAGTTTGTACAAGGTTTCCTCATCGACACCAGGCGATGTCTCAATTGCCCCAGAGTTCATAAATTTTAATTAATCATGCTGTTGGTGGTTTAAACCAGTTAAAGCCATGATACCACTAAGGATATTAGATTAGAGTCAAAAAGAATGGCCCGAGAAATTCAGCAGATGTTCAAACCAATGATTAATGGAGATGGAGGGTGAATTCATCTGGGCTGGAATTTAGGGGCACAGCAGGAAGTCTTCTAAACAAGACAAGTTGGTTCGACAGTTTAAGTAGTGCTAGACTAAGAGGGGTTTTTGATGGATAGTTGGGTTGTTGTTTTTTTTACATTTTTCTTAAGTCTACTACTAGTCTGTCTGGAAAACTAGCCCTGCTCTTCTCATGACATTCAATTTAAACCAGTCTTCTTTAAAACTTAACTAAAGCTGAGTTTTAAATAGTAGCTCAGCATCTTTGAGGCTGCAAAGGGATCTTTTTCTTATGGTAGACAAAAGGCAAAAGACACACAGATAAGTTGTACACCAAAGCAGGTCTCCGAAAACATTCAAGACAAAACGAGCATAAAAAGCTGGTCAATCTGGAGACCAATTACCAAACACAGACCAAAACAAAAAGCACATACTGTATATTTACAACTTCAAGTCCAACTTTAAATACAATAAACAATCCTTTTCCGAATAAAAGCTAGCTAATGTCCCTCCACTCATTTGTAGTGTTAAAAGGTGAGTGATAATCCTTGATTCACATCTATTGGTCCCAGGGAAATCTTGTTCTTGTACTTGATCACAGTGAGCTTCTGTAGTAAAGAGTACAGGTAAACGGATATCCACAAGATGGCACCAGCAAGCACAAAACAGAAACCAGTCCTACCATCCAAGTCTGTCGATGTTAAGTTCACAGAGATATCTGTTACTGTTGAAGGTTTCTGGTAGCTCTCCACGCTCTTCTACGGTCTAATGACATCTTGGAGCAACAACACCTTTAATACTGGCCCCACGGAGGCAACCAGTAATTCGCTCCTTCACTATGAAATCTTACAGTTCCCCTTAGAGGAAGACGACGAGTCCTTTGGAGGGCTCTGTGGAGGCCTGAAGGACTTTGAGCGTTTGAGGCTGTTGGCTTTGCTTCCACCGCTGCTAGCGCCTGAGGCTGCACTGTTGGCCACAGAGTAGGAGCGTCCATGCATCATGACTGCATTCATGCCGTTGGCCATAGAAAAAGACTTGAGGTGGGACTTGATGGCCACAGGGAGGGGCAGTTTGTCAATAAGGTGCACCGGTGTGCAGGAGACGATCGAACGGCAGCACAGGTCTTGGAGGCTGAAGACTGGAGGAAGAGATATGGATGTTAAGACTTGATGTCATGTCAGACACACTCCCTAATTTTTCCCTTAAAGGCGTCAGAGCTCCACATTACTCTTCAATAAATATATATTTTTCAGTGTGTCTATAAACTGTACTATTTGGACATCACAAAAGGCCAAGCTGATTCATGTCCACTGCATTGGTGTGGCACGACATACTTCGGGGGTGAACATGTCAAAATCAAGACAAATACAACTGAAACTTTCTGCTGCTTTTCTCTATCAGTTGTGAGAACTGACTGTTTTCATACAGAACTGGTTAAAAAACATTGCTTATCTAACAGAACTTGTATGCAAACATGATTAACCAGCTCACCTCTGTTGGGCCTCCAGAATTTCTCCATCCCGTGCCTCATCAGCACAATGCGTGAAAGTTCTGTGAAGGATTCGATGACATTGAAGTTGCACAGCGGACTGACCTCAAAGAAAGTCATGCTGTTCTTTTCTGCATACGCCCTTGCCTGCTCCGTTGGCACCTGTCGCTTGAAAGCCAGGTGCAGCCGGTTGCCCACTAGGATCCTGGGTACCCCAGGGGCGTGCTGATGGAAATAAGCAATATTGTTGCTATATTTAGGTGATGTAACCAAATTTTGTTGTATCTCAAACAGGATTTTTAACAGCTATCCCGCATCTCTCAGTCTAAGCTGCACTAACAGACAATAGTCTCTCTCATGGATGGATGGATATACAGGATTTTCCCCTCACCCCATGCATTTGCTGTGTTTCTTTGTCAACCATAAATGGGTTGAATGGGATTACCTCATCAATTTCCCGGATCCAGCGGTCAATACCATCAAATGACCAGCCGTTAGTGATGTCATACACGAGCAGTATGCCCTATGGAATGAAAGCCAAACATGTTGACATTCATACAAAATTACATAATGAGGGAAAACCACCAAAACTGCCCTCCAAACGTCCTCACCTGTGCCCCACGAGAGTAAGACCTGAAGATGGTGCAGAATCTGCCTTGCCCTGATGTGTCCCTGTTGTGAAAACAAACACACATGAGCATGTAAGAAGACCAATATGATTTGGGTTTGTTCACTACTACTGCAGCCATTATTTATTTCATCAGTGTGTGTTGCTATAAACCCTTACCATAACTCTAATTTCACTCTCCTCCCATCCAGCAGAATTGTGGTGGTCTTGTAATCAATCCCTGAGATAGCACACAATCCACACAGAGTTAGTCAATGTTTAAAAAGGTCTTTTAATTCAGTTCTAAACAACTGAACAAAAGCAGAGATAGTTACTCACCACTGCTGTAGGCATAGGGGGACTCTACTGATCCGTCTTGCAGACTGTCCAAGATTTCCCCCTTTCCGACATCGCTGTCTCCCACCAAAAGAAACTTCAGGAGATAATCGTAACTCTTGACCGGACTACTCTGGGTCCCCATCATCCCACGCATTGAATCCGATCGACAGAGAGCTTTATAAGCTCGCCAGACGTCCACTATTGGGGGCAAGGGACAACTCAGACGGTCCCCAGCTGCGGTAGCTGAAGCAAAGCGACCGCCGTTTGATGTCGACTAACCAGCTAGCTGGTGCACTACCCACGATTTACATTAACTCTCCTTAGTAACGGCTAACACATAAAATAGAATTTCCTGATAAGACTGGACTAAATCCAAACAAACCTTTCAGTGTACGTTACTAGCACTGGAGTCCAGCCGCCGCTGACGTTACTATTCACAATAAGTTATTCATCAAAACAACCTTAACTAACTGTTAGCTGGCTTGTTAGCTAGCCGGCTAACAGAACGACAACAACGCATTTTAGCACAAACAGGGGATACAAAGTAAAAGCAAGACTGTGTCATCCTACATTGAACCATACTCTTCCAAACCAAATACGATTGTTTCACTTTGTTAATAAATGAAAAGGCCAACGAGGGATTTATAGCCTCCGAGCACAACGTCCAGCTAACAGGACTGTGTTGGAACTTCCTGGTAGCGGCATCATGCGCTGCGTAACATCCGGTTACGCTTTTAAAAAATAATAAAAGGAACAATTATTATTGTAGTTTTATGTCTCGATTTATTTAATATTCAATACAAGATACTTCATTAATAATGAAGCAACTGATCTGTCCATAGAGGCTATGATAGCCCACACGTTTTACTGAAACGTGGGTAGAAATGCTCTCCTGCTGCCTCACCAGAGAGGGAGGAGAAGTTAACCCTGCCTACTGAGTAAACTGAAGGGACTGACTTAATTTATACTTTATTTTGCACGTTGTACAATTGGTTTAGAAATGACACATGCACTTTGCAAACCCACACTGGTGTATGACACATGGGCCTTTACAGAGAAAGGAAGCCCGTTAAGGGGGATTATTATTGGTGACCTCTCATTGGTTGTTCTTGATTGGAATTTACAGCAGCTGTGTGAATTATCTCTTAAGTGCCGAACATAAAAGCCAGGTGAAACACTACCATCATACATGCCCTGTTTAGGTTAGGGGTCAGTTTAGTTGAAGGCAGCTGCTGGAGTGAAAATGGAGTTAGTACCTGCTGTGTGTTTGTTGTTGCTGTTTTGTTCTGCCTGTAGATCTGAGGATGGCCTATTTTTGGAAGATCCTGAATTAGTGTGGGTGAGAATGGAGACAATGATGAGTAAAGAAATGACACCTGCACCTGAAACCAAATTGTTGAGGAGTGCATCAGGTAGTGGATCACCTGAAGCCAAAAATGTTCCTCAGTATCTGGCTGTCCCAGCCTCTCAGACCCTGAAACAGGTTTTCAAGCCAGAACAGGGTGCCAGAAGCCTCCCTAACTTGGCTAACGAAATGTTACTTGTGACTGCTGCCCCTACTCCGGCAATTGGCGCAACAGCCGGGACAAAGTTGGTTGAAATCCTGTGTCATGTTGACAGAATGTATGTGAGAATAAGGAGAGAGGTCTTTAAGACTCGTGACGCATACAAATACTTGAAACTAGGCACCTGTCCTGTTAACAAAGGTACCAAAGAACATTACTACCTTCTGTACCTTCTGAGAACTGACTGTGGATTTGAGAAAAAGGTTGGTAAAGCTGTTCCCTCAATTGCTGTATCATTCAGTTAGTTCTAGTTTGTGACTGCAACCAACATGTGAATGTTTATGTTCCAGAGTCATCCAGATTATCTGTCCTTTAGCAATGTGCTCCACTACAGGCCAACCGGTCCAGTTTTAAGGGAAATGCCATTTGATATTCCCCTGAACTGTAACTATCCCAGGTAAGATTTAGATTAGGTTCTTCAGTTTTAGTATGATTGTGTAATTTAGTTCTATTACAAATCTTAACTACCAGCATTTAAGACCAAGGACATATTGCAAGACTACAGGGCAATCAATGACTTCTGTTTTCAAATTTTGTATTGTGAGTTTTCACTTGACTATTGCAGGTTTTTCCACTCCTATAAAGTTGGCTTCTATCCTGATCGCATGGGTGCAGTTTTCAAACGACTCCAACCTAAAACTAGTTTCACCCTTACTCCTCAAGATGGTATGTTCCCATGTTTTAAATGCATTTTCAGCACAAGGCCTGTTATCAGAAGCACCATCTCTTTTTTTGAAATTAGGAGCTCTGAAGTGCAGAAAGGAGTGCTAACTTGCAAATGCACATTTCTAAACTTAACCAGGCTAGGAAAGTGCTGCTCCAAGTATAGATGTGCAACTTGGACAGAAGAGGGAGCGCTACAAAATGTACATTATCCTTAGTTTTGTAACATGGTGAGGTTAATGTGGATGATGACGTACTTCTGAGGTGGTATAAATCAGGTTCTTTAATGGGCAACAAAGATGTCTGACAAAACTTGTGTGGACAAGGATTACATGGGGAGCTAAATGCACACCTGTATTTGACACAAATGGGAAGCTGTTAAATGAATCCAAAGCTAGACAAACCCTGGAGTCAAATATTTACCATTTTAGAAAAGGCACCCTAGCACCTGATCTGTCAAGCATTTGTAAGTGTACTCAAAATATGCCAGGATAAAATACTAAAGCATGTTCTACAAGTACTCAGAACTCATCACTGCATATTCTGCTGGAGCTTAAAGGAACCAAATGTATTACTTGCATAGCAAATGCATGCAGCAGCCCTGTGTCTCTATTGTCAAGTGATGTCCCTCACTTTGCCACAGCATCAGGTAATGAAATCACTGGAACCAAAACCTTCACCTTGGGCGAGCCGATGTACTTTGAGGTCACGCAACCTGACCGCACTGCACAGTTGGGAGGCCAGAGGATATACATCGACAAGTGCTTTGTGACAGCCTCCCGAGACCCCAATTCAAATCCTCGATATACGGTCATTGACAACCAAGGGTAAGGTTTGAAATGATTTCAGTATAAGATGGGCCTGTCACTTGGTGGTTGGAGGTAAATGTGTCTTCTCGACAGGTGCATGATTGATGGCAAAGAGAACGAACAGTCAAGGTTCCTCGCTGGCGCCTCAGAGATGGTCCAGAAATTCAGTCTGGGTGCCTTGATTTTCAAGAATGGCGTTTCCGCTTCCTCCTCACAGGTACTGTTAAGAGGTAGTGGTACAGAGCTCAATGCTGTCAAATAATGAACACATGTAGCCATTATGCTCACTGTCTTTCAGCAACTCTACATGCACTGCGAGATCTCTGTGGGGACACGTACTCCAACTCAGGGCTCAAAGGCTTGCAATTATGATCCAGCGACCAAAACGTGAGTTGACTCTGGCTAAAGTAAAACTCACAGGTGTAGCTTGCTTTTGAAGGTCTTGTAGGAGGAAGTGTTTCATGTGTACTTGACTGCCAAAAGAACTCGGTGTGTATTTCCAGTATTGCCAGCTGTGCTCACTGTGATCTGCTTTGTCCATCAAGTTTGCCATCTAATATTGCTGACCACTGTTATGGTTTAGGTGGAAGGAGCTGTACTCTGATGACTCCGTGTGCACCTGCTGTGACTCGACCTGCTCCTTGGCACAGCCTAAGGGTACGTCTTCAACTTGTCTGTCTGTTGGGGAGGGGTCTTGAGGACATCTTGGTATGAAATGCAGTAACTTCAGACATGCTCCCTGACTTGGCACAGAGCTGTTCCCAGGCAGTAATTCTTGAAGCGTTCACTTTCTACAGGCAATACTGATGCAAATCCAAAAGTACTCATCCCTTGACAATCATGCAGAATCAAAGCATAAAATGACTCCTTACTGAAAGCTACTCTCTGACAATTATCCTCTTGTATTTTTACAGCTTCTAGGGGTATGATCTCAAGTCACTCTTGGGAGGTCGTCGCAAGCGGCAAGGATGACTATGCAGCGGTTGACCCTCGGATGAATTCCCTTGACGTGGCAGAGCATGAAGACTTAAAGCAATGGGAAAATGATTACTGACAAAATTATGTAGACATGATTTTTAAATGAGAACTGGATCGCTTGCTATTATCATGACATAACTCACTCACTCTGACTGAAGAGAATAAAAGCAGAATTTAAAATCTTAATGCTTAGACTCTTAAATGGCGCAACTGGCATTGTCTGTACACTGCCCAGCATATTCATGTATGAGCAAGCTTGCATTTCCTGAAAATGTGTCACTGCATCTCTGTAGATGCAGTTGTGTACCACAAGGGGATGAAAGAGATTCAGTCTTTGCTTTAGTGAATTCAGCAGGAAGTTCAATTTTCTGTGTCAAGGGGTTCCCAATAAGGGCATGGTTCAACTGCTTGTTCTCAGGGCTTCTCTCCATGAAGGGCAAATCTTGTAGCCTGGAAGTCCCCATGTTGGGTTTCCACTGTGATGGGTCTCTGGTCAACAGCAGATGCATTAGTGCAGTTTTGAAATGAACCTCCTTGAGCACACTACTTCCAGACAGTGCTGCCTGTTTCCGGTGAAGGAACTGGGCAATTTCAAGAGTTTGACTGTGGCATGAATTTCCAGGCAGGTGTCTAGACATGTGTTCAAAGAAACTATCAAGATGGCTTGTCAGGGAGAGTGTCCAGTAAGTATCCAAGTTCTTAGGGAGCAAGGAGTAATAAGAAATGAGCATCGGTTTTGAATTTAACCACAGGTTCATACTGAAGCTTAGCTTCTTCACTGATCTAAATCGAATGACTGGCAATGTAGCGGCTGTTAAGCTGATACTTATGTGAAATCAGTGCCCACGCTTGTTAGCGCTCTGAAACCATCTGGTCCATCACAAACATCAGTAATTTTCATCGTTACTTTCTCAGACTCACAATGCAGCAGGCATATCATCTGCATTGGGAGACTGACAGTGGCAGCCATTTTGGACAGGTTATACGGGTCAAGTGGGCTAAAGGAATGATATCACACACCCACCATCTGAAAGTCCTCAATCAACATACCGTCATTGCTATCACACACTCCTCTTGGCATCCAATAGATCATTTGCAAACCCCTCTAAAAACTCATCCTCCCTCCACTTGTTATTGGATGGTACTTGAATACATTTAGAATGAAATGGCTGCAGAGCGTGGCTGTCTGGTAGCAGCCATGCAGGTCACTGGGAAGGTCCTGGTTTCTTCTATCTTCATTTGGGAATTTCTCCCTAGTTACTTCCTGAAGAAGCGTATGATGGAGATGGAGAATATGTTCCATGAGTACCAGAGATAATCCCCCTCCCAGTCAGCGATTGTGTTCTCTGAAGTTTCATTTTCTGATGTCTTGGTGTGAAGGTGTGACAGAGGTGATTCTTGTTCTTTGGAGCTGAACATTTCCTTCTCTTCGGGCTTTTCCTGTTGCTTGTGTGGTCCGCTTGGGTCTGTAAAAGAGTCATCTTCTCCCTGTTTACTCCTCTTGTCCAGCTGTAAATTTCCCTTTTGCTCATGGTCAATTTGTGATGTTTTCAGAGCAGTCTCACCTTCACTTTTGGAGTTTTGGTGCTGATCCAAATCTGCTATAAAATATCCCCCTTCTTGTAATTTGTGATCAACATTGTCTTCCTCTGATTGCTGTTTTATGACATTCACATCATCTAAGTCTGACATTTTATCTTTTTCAGTAACTTGCTGATCAGACTGATCAACAAGTTCCTTGGGAGTGTCATCTCCAGGCCCAGCATACATCCTTTCCTTACTGATATGTGCCATTTCATGGTCCAGTTTTTCTTCTCCTCTCAGCAGCCTCTCTTCATGCTTTTGCATGCCCACTGTGGTGATATCACCCCATTCCTCAACCCCGGGGTCATCTCTTGGGTGCGTTAGGAGACCCAGAGCCACCACAAACACTCGCAGCAGAGTGCTGTGCATCGTCAATACTGTCTGTGAATAAGTCAAACAGCATAAAGAATTGTTACAAATATGATATATAAGAACAAAAGATTGAATGAAAACCCTTGCAATTATATGTAAATATACTTTATGGCAAAGCTCACAACGATGCAAAGCAAGTAAGAAAGAAGCTGCTTCCTCGATGGCCTTGAAGCATCTTCTTTCCTCAATTCTGTGATTATATTGTATGTCAAATGCCATTTATTACTGCTCAACAATAAAGAAGAAGGGATATGGATGTTAGACACACTCCCTAATTTTTCCCTTAAAGGCGTCAGAGCTCCACATTACTCTTCAATAAATATATATTTCTCAGTGTGTCTATAAACTGTACTATTTGGACATCACAAAAGGCCAAGCTGATTCATGTCCACTGCATTGGTGTGGCGCGACATACTTCGGGGGTGAACATGTCAAAATCAAGACAAATACAACTGAAACTTTCTGCTGCTTTTCTCTATCATTTGTGAGAACTGACTGTTTTCATAAAATGAAAAAAACATTAAATCCTCTCACAGAACTGGTTAAAAAAATAAAAACGTTTAACAGAACTTGTATGCAAACATGATTAACCAGCTCACCTCTGTTGGGCCCCCGCAACCCTGTACGCAGGATAAGCGTTTGACGACGGATGGATGGATGGACCTCTGTTGGTCCTCCAGAATTTCTCCATCCTGTGCCTCATCAGCACAGTGCGTGAAAGTTCTGTGAAGGATTCGATGATGTTGAAGTTGCACAGCGGACTGACCTCAAAGAATGTCGTGCTGTTCTTTTCTGCATACGCCCTTGCCTGCTCCGTTGGCACCTGTCGCTTGAAAGCCAGGTGCAGCCGGTTGCCCACTAGGATCCTGGGTACACCAGGGGCGTGCTGATGGAAATAAGCAATATTGTTGCTATATTTAGGTGATGTAACCAAATTTTGTTGTATCTCAAACAGGATTTCTAACAGCTATCCCGCATCTCTCAGTCTAAGCTGCACTAACTAACAGACAATAGTCTCTCTCATTGATGGATGGATATACAGGATTTTCCCTCACCCCATTCATTTGCTGTGTTTCTTTGTAACCATAAATGGGTTGAATGGGATTTCCTCATCAATTTCCCAGATCCATCAAATGACCAGCCGTTAGTGATGTCATACACGAGCAGTATGTCCTATGGAATGAAAGCCAAACATGTTGACATTCATACAAAATTACATAATGAAGGAAAACCACCACAATTGCTCTCAAACGTCCTCACCTGTGCCCCACGAGAGTAAGACCTGAAGATGGCGCAGAATCTGCCTTGTCCTGTTGTGAAAACAAACGCACATAAGCATGTAAGAAGACCAATATGCTGTGGATTTGTTCACTACTACTGCAGCCATTATTGATTTGATCAGTCTGTTGTGATGGCAATTTAAGTTTTCAAAGAAACAGCTCAGGCAAACACTTGTCTTTCTGTGAATTTTATTAAAGTCTTCTGCAGAACTCTCAGCAACACGCATAAGTGTATGCTCGAATGAGTGAGGAGAGCTGGGTGAGCCTGTCATTTATAGGGTCAATCATATCCCACAGAGACTCATTGTCCCTGAAGTCTGGATAACACAGAGAACAGAGATATTTCAACTGTTACGTTTACACAGATTCAGTGCCACGTCACACATGAGTCTCCCTGAGTCCAGGGTTACATGCAATATGTTTGGAATTCCCATTACGCTGTGTTGCTAAAAACTCTTACCATAACTCTAATTTCACTCTCCTCCCATCCAGCAGAATTGTGGTGCTCTTGTAATCAATCCCTCCACACAGAGTTGTTTTCAATGTTTAAAAAGGTCTTTATAATTCAGTTCTAAACAACTGAACTAAAGCAGAGATAGTTATTTACCCCTGTGATAGTCATAGGGGGACTCTACTGATCCGTCTTGCAGAATGTCCAAGATTTCCCCCTTTCCGACTCTGCTGTCTCCCACCAAAAGAAACTTCAGGAGATAATAGTAACTCTTGACCGGACTATCATACCACGCATTGGATCCGATCCACAGCTTTATAAGCTCGCCAGACATCCACTGTTGGGGGCAACCCGGTTATGAGTCTGTTAGGTTTGATAGAGGTGAAAATCAGTTTGGAGTATGTGAGGGATGGGATACTACTTGGATGAATAGCAACTACAAAATAAATAGAATGTGTGATTACTGAAATTTATAAATCAGATGGGCACTTGGTAGTAATCAACTTATTTAACCCTTTGTAAATCATTAAGCCTAGAAACCTTAGAGGAAATAATAAGGAGACAAGGAAAGGGAAAGAAATATGGTGCAGAGACTTTAATGCACATAATAGGAAAGTAAGCATACTGATAGGAATGGAGAAGCAGTGGAAGAACTACTGGATGTTAGGCAACTAGTTTGTTTAAAAAATGGAAATGGCACAAGAATTGACATGCGTTCTAACACACTGTGTTACATTTACATTTATCCAAAGCGACTTACAATTGCTATACATCGTCAGAGGTTGCACACCTCTCGAGCAACTAGGGGTTAAGTGTCTTGCTCAGGGACACATTGGGGGATGGGTCACAGTGGGGGATTTCAACAACAAGGTAATTCAAAGTGCTTTACATAAAACATAAAAGCAACAGGGAAATATAAAAAAATTTAAAAGCAACATAGGGATTTGAAAAAATACACATTAAAATATAATAAAAGTTACAGTGTTAAAAGAGTTAAATGGAAAATAAAAACAGTCCGAGGGGTTGAGCAAATAATTGAGTTACAATTATTTTGAAAAGAGAATAAACAAAGAAGTAAACTTAATCTACTCTCTCTAGCTAGTCTGTACTCAGGTCCATAGCAATCTTTGGGTCCACTGAAACTCCAAAAACCTTCGTACACTACAGAGAAACCAGGACATGTCTGTCCGCAGGCCACTTTGATCCAGTTAAACTCTGGACCCACTTGCGCATTTACAGGTGGACAGAGGTTCCTGCAAATCACTCAGGCGTGAGATTGAAGACCACTTCCTTCACTCTGTTCAATCTCACTCTCATTACCTTTTCGCTCAATTACCTACTCATTTCTGACCATGTAAATATTTAATTTAAAGCAATGGTAAAAAGCTAAAAACAAAGAAAAAGAAAACAGGACAGTAAAAGTTACAGTGCAGTGTAAGTTACAGTATCAATCTACTAGTTAAAGGCAGTGGTAAAAAGAAAAACCTTAAATATTTTATTAAAAGCAATGGTAAAAAGAAAAGTCTTCAGTCTTAATTTAAAAGAACTGAGAGTTTCAGCAGACCTGCAGTTATCTGGGAGTTTGTTCCAGATATATGGAGCATTATAACTGAATGCTGCTTCTCCTTGTTTAGTTTTGACTCTGGGGACAGAAAGCAGACCTGCCCCAGACGACCTGAGAGGTGGTAAATGCATGGATACGTTTTTCCAGGTCTTGCTGAGACATAAGTCCTTTAATCCTTGATATATTCTTCAGGTGATAGAAGGCTGACTTTGTAATTGTCTTAATGTGGCTCCTCCAATTCAGGTCTGAGTCAATGACTACACCAAGATTTCTGGCTTGATCCGTGGTTCTTAACATTACAGATTGAAGTCGAGCACTGACTTTCAATCGTTCCTCCCTGGCTCCAAAAACAATAACTTCAGTTTTATCCTTGTTTAATTGAAGAAAATTCTGGCACATCCAATCGCTGACCTGCTCAATACAGTTACTCAGCACTTGTATGGGATCATAGTCCCCTGGTGAAATGCTTATGTAAATCTGTGTGTCATCTGCATAATTATGGTAACATATTTTGCTGTTTTTCATAATCTGAGCCAGTGGAAGCATGTAAATGTTAAACAAAAGAGGCCCCAGAATGGAGCCTTGGGGAACTCCACATGTCATTTTTGTCAGCTCAGATGTGTGATTATCTATAGACACAAAGTAGTCCCTGTCCTTTAAGTAGGATTCAAACTAGTTTAGTACTGTGCCAGAAAGTCCAACCCAGTTTTCAAGTCTGTCTAATAATATATTGTGGTCGACCGTGTCGAATGCAGCACTGAGATCTAATAATACTAAGACTGAAATTCTGCCACTGTCAGTGTTTAAATGGATGTCATTGAAGACCTTAACAAGAGCCGTCTCAGTGCTGTGGTGTGGTCGAAAACCTGACTGGAAGACATGAAAACAGTTATTTAGTGCCAAGAAAGCACTAAACTGTTGGAAAACAGCCTTTTCAATGATTTTACTTAAAAATGGGAGATTTGATATGGGCCTATAATTGCTCATTAGTGAACTGTCTAGAGTGGCTTAATGACTTCAGTTTTCAGGGCCTGAGAAAAAGACCTGAGAGGAGAGACATATTGACAATTTGTAGTAGATCTGAGGCCATGCAATTTTTTGTGTTCAGCTTTTCGACACTCTCTTTTTTGAGTTCTAACCAGCGTGGCATTTATCCATGGAGATCTTCTCTTACCAGAGACCACCTTCACCGTGGCTGGTGCAATGGCATCAATAACATTTGTAATTTTTGAACTGAAATTATCAGCAAGCTCATTGACTGAGACCCGTGAGAGGGTGGGTGTCGAGCAGAAAGCCTCAAAAAAATTTCACTAGTGTTTTCAGTGATATGCCGTTTTGTGATTACCGCAGATAGCACTCTCAAAGAAAACACAGGAATGATCAGAGACAGCAACATCAGTCACCACAACCTTGGAAATGTCCAGACCCTTGGAGATGTCCAAAGTGTGCCCCTTATTGTGTGTGGGCTTCATCACATGTTGGGTCAGTCCATAATTATCAAGAACACAACACAGTGCCTTAGTCCCTCTGTCCTGGGGGTTGTCAACATGGATGTTAAAATCACCCACAATAACCACACAGTCAAAGTCAATACAGATTATAGACAGCAGTTCACCAAAGCCATCAAAAAAGTTTGCACAGTATTTAGGGGGCCTCTAGATATTTAGAAAAATAGCTTGAGAAGAAGAATTCAGCTGAAGAGACACATATTCAAAGAAGCAAAATTCCCATAAGACATCTTTTTGCATTGAGGGAGTCATTAAACAAAATGGCAACACCACCTCCTTTCTTATGCACTCTAGGTTCACTCATAAAAATGAAGTTGGGATGGGTAGACTCGATACGGACAGCTGCACTGTTATCTTGGTCCAACCAAGTTTCAGTTAAAAACAAGAAATTAAGATTATGAGTGATTATAAAATCACTGATTAAAAATATTTTTCCTGCCAAAGACCTAACGTTTAACAAAGCTAATTTTAGTGTGTTAAAAACATTATCTGGCCAACTTTTATCGACAGGCTGAGGCTGACGAGGAATTAATACTAAATTTGCAGGATATGTTGAGTGCTTCCTGTTTCTTAACACATTCACCATGCTTTTTCTGTTACCTATCAAGACAGGGATGGAGAAGACTACCAGCACATTGGGCTCCGGCTTGTCCTGGGAAGAGTCATGAGTGCTATTTTCCTTGTAGCCTGGACCCAGCACATATCAGACAGAGCTTACTGGGCTTTTTCGCCATTGCGGAGTGGGAAGGCGGGTTGTTCGCTCTATTTGGTGAGGGGGGTTTAGGGTAGAGAGAATGGGAGTAGAAGGAGGGAAAGTGCGGGGAGTAAATTTGGTCCCAGCTCTAATCAGGTCTTCTATGTGATCAACGATCACAAAAGGCATAGTCTTATCTATTGCATCGCCACACCAAGATGTATTGATCTCACTTTAATTTCTAATAATCTGGCAAACTCTTGGAATTAAAAAAAAGTATTGGAAGTGATCATTTTCCAATATTTTGTTCTTTAAATGTTGATATAGATCTTCAAGAAAGGCCTAATCATAAGAAGTGGGATTTTGCTAAAGCCAATCAGGAAAATTTTTAATAAATATGCTGTATTTCATGGGTGAGTCAATTTGAATGCAGGGTGATATTGAGGAATGTGCATCTGAAGTTTCACATTTAATTTTGAATACAGCATTAAATAGCAAACCATGTAAGTCACTTGGGGGGGAAAGGAAAATGGTCCCATGATGGAACGATACATGTACAGAAACTATTAAAGAATGAAATAGGGCAATGAGAATGTGAAGAAATAACATGGACCTAGATAATCTAATTAATTGTCAGAGGAAAAAGGCTCAGACACGTAGTAACTAAGATTAGTAAACAAAATGCATGGAGGAACTATTGTTCTACTATAGGAAGGGAAGTTAAAATAGGAGAGGTGTGGTCAATGCTGAAGGAAATGAGTGGGAAACAAGGTATGTGCTAAAATACCTGTATTAGAGGGTGATGGAATACTGGCAATAACAGATAAGGAAAAGGCAAATATGTTGGGAAAGAAGTTGGCTAGTGTGCAAAGACTACATAAAGAGAAGGTTCTTAAGGAAAATAGAGATGTGTTTATTAAAAAAATAGTGAGGAAATTAAATTAAACTAGTGATTGTATTAAATGGTACTAGAAATACTGCTACAGGAGAAGATCAACTGAGCTATATTATGTTCCAGAAACTACCTGAAAAAGTATAATAAGTAAGTAAAATAATATTACACCTATTTAATAAGATATGGGAAGAAGGTAAAATGCCCAAAAGCTGAAAGAGTGCTTTAATATTGCCATTTAATAAACCTGGGAAAGATTCTAAAACTGCTGGTGATTACAGACCTATCGCCCAACATCACATCTATGCAAGTGGATGGAGAAGATACTAGTCAGAAGCCTTAATCACACCCTTGAACATAAAGGGTTATATGCACCAAGTGGGTTCAGAAAAGGGTGGTCCAAAATGGATGCTGTTGTGAAAGTAAGCAATTATGATTCCATGTGGAGGGAAGGGTTACTAATTAAATTGAACAAAATGGGAATTAAAGGTAGGTTCTATAAGTGGGTCCTAGATTTTATGTCAGAAAGAAGATTTAGAGTAAAAGTGGGATCAGAAGTATCTAAAGAATTTGAAATTATTAATAGAATTCCACAAGGCAATGTTATTAGTCCAGTTTTATTTAATATTATGATTAATGATATTTTTATGAATCTAGACAGAAGGATTGGGTCAGCTCTATATGCAGATGATGGGGCCATCTGGACAAGAGGACGAGATCCCATAAGGGTGAAAAGTAAAATCAAGGAAGCAATAGGAAAGGTAGAACAATGGTCGCATAATTGGGGCTTTAAGCTTTCTCCAAGTAAGTCTTGCCATATATTTACCAGGAAAAAAAGAGATAGACAAACGGGAACCTACAGTTATATGGCCACAATATAGAAACAGTAGATCATTTTAAATATGTGGGTATGTGGTTAGACCAAAAGGGAACATGGAAAATACACATCGAAAAGGTGGAATCAAAATGCAAGAAAGTTATAAATTTAATGAGAGCAGTAGTGGGGAAAGACTGGTGAGCAAATAAACAATCATTAATCTATATTTATAGGGCTCTAATGAGGTCAACAATAGATTATGGATGCTATGTATATGGAGCAACAGTTAAAACACACTTACTGAAGTTGGATAGAGTTACTAACAAAGCATTGAGGATTTGTGCAGGTGCAATTAGATCAACACCAATTAAAGCAATCCAGGTTGAGTTAGGGGAAGTGTCCTCAGACCAGACCTGATAAACTCACACTCACACTTACATACTGGAGTCGCTTACGTGAAAGTGGTCTTGAAAACCATGCAAAGAGTGTTATTCAGGAGTGTTGGGAGTATACTTCTTTTAAAGGTAATGGCTTTGGTAACGAAGACTAAATCAGAGGAATTTAGATTTAATAATACCGTTATATATTATTATTATTTTCTACACCTATTAGTGATATCCCTATTTGGTTAAGACGATAATTAAAAAAGAAATGATGATGAAATGGCAGGACAGCAAGGATGTGGATAAAAGTGGAAGGAAATATCCGCAAAAATCTATTCATGCTCAAGGTGTGACTAGAAGGAACAGAAGAGAGGAGAGCGTTTTAACCAGGCTAAGGTTTGATCATACCGGGTTAAATAAAACATTGTTTTTAATGGGCAAAAGTCAATCAGATTAATGTTTGGAATGTAGGTCCAAGTAAAGTATAGAAAATGTACTATTTGACTGTCGGAAATATAGGGATGAGAGGATGCGGCTGAATCAAAAGATAAGTCAGGCAGGAAGAAGTGAAACCTTGAAGGTTTATTAGGCACAACAGGAGATGGGGTAAAGGATACACAGAAAGCTGCTGTACAATATCTGAAAAATATAGGGATATTTAATAGGATTTAGTGGTTTTTTAGGCTGTTTATCTGTTTTGTTTATGTTTATCTATTTATTTAATTATTTTTGGTGATATAAAAGTAGTCCCAACAAACATAGTTCATGCTACATACTCTGGTACAGTAGGCGGCAGTATGCACCTTTGAAAGTCATGGTTGCAATCTACCATGAAACAAAAAAGAAGCAGCAGCAGCAGCAGCACTGGTTCCCCTCTAGAGAGAGTGAAAGAATTTTAATTTTTGGGTGTCTGGTTTGACCAACGAATGACTTGGGCTGTTCACGTTAGGAACATTTTGTCAAAATGTGACAAGGTGTTAAATATAATGAGAGGTCTGTCGGGATGTGACTGGGGGGCAGAGAGGGGTTCCATGCATTTAGTATATCAGGCAATGATAAAGGCCCTAATTGGAATTGGGTGCTTTGTTTATGGTTCTGAAGCCCAGTCGGTGTTAAGGAAGTTAGACACTGCAGGCTAAGGAACTGAGACTCTGTTTTGGAGCTCTCAGAACATTTCCAATTCCTGCTCTGCTTATTGAAATGGGTGAAATGCCCTTGTGTTTTTAAAGAAAAGAACAAATACTTAACTGCTCTAAAACTGGAACAATATCTTAACAGTGGGAAGGGATCATATCTGAAATTTTTTACAGATGGTGCCAGGGAACCAGAGAGTGGGAGAGCAGGTTCTAGGGTGTATATAGCTCAACTGGACTTTAGGATTAGCAAGAGAATAACAGACAGAAGTTCTGTCTTTACAACAGAGCTACTGGCGATTCTTTGGGCTCTGTGGTGGATTGAGGATGTGAAAAAAAGAGAAGCCTTAATCTGCTCTGATTCTGCAGCTGCCCTGATGGCCTTGAAAGGCCGTAAAGCAAAAGCCCGTCCTGGTATCATAAGTGAAATTCTAGCTGTATTATTTAGAATTACAATGATTGGTAGCATTGTTATGTTCTGCTGGGTCCCTGGACATGCTGGAGTTGAAGGAAATGAAGTAGCAAACTTTTTAGCAAAATCAAGCTTAAAGAAGTTAGAGACAGATATAAATATATCATTTGCAGTAAATATATTGAAGTAATAAGCTTGATACACTATATGAATAAAAACACTCTTATTAAAATTCAACCAATTTAATAATAATAATAATTTGCTAATCCGATATTAATATTTTACTCATGGATAGGGACGTTAGGCTACTGTATGAATGATGATAGTAATTATATACATAAGCCTTTATATGGCAGGTCTGGTTGTATCCTACTCGGGAAAGATTGTGAAAATGGAAGGATTTAGCCGGAGTAGTGGTGATTACATATTGACAACATATTTCTGTGGTTTTTACATGTTTTGAATTTGGTTGTGGGCCCACAGGGGTTTATATAATGATGATATACAGTAATCAAGAGGTGAATTTGTGCTTTATACTTTGTCAAATAAAGCAAGCCAGGCAGCCTTCCATGTTTGAGAACGGCGCTGTTTTTTAATCGCCCACTAGAGGGCTGCAGCGCCACAATAACCAGCCTGGTTCAAATGAACGAAATGACTGAAAAAAAGATTAGTTCATTTTCATGAACAAGATTTGAATGAACGAGTCTGTAAAGAGTCGAACTTGCCATCACTATATGTTACTAGCACTGGAGTCCAGCCGCCGCTGACGTTACTATTCACAATAAGTTATTCATCAAAACAACCTTAACTAACTGTTAGCTGGCTTGTTAGCTAGTCGGCTAACAGAAGGACAACAACGCATTTTAGCACAAACAGGGGATACAAAGTAAAAGCAAGACTGTATCATCCTACATTGAAACATACTCCAAACCAAATACGATTGTTTCACTTTGTTAATAAATGAAAAGGCCAACGAGGGATTTTCAGCCTCCGACCACAACGTCCAGCTAACAGGACTGTGTTGGAACTTCCTGGTAGCGGCATCATGCGCTGCGTAACATCCGGTTACGATTTCAAAAAAATAATAAAAGGAACAACATGTTATTTAAAAACTTACTTACATGCCTCATTTAATGCTTATTAGCCTAGCCCACCTTTCCACAACCACCCATCTTTTTAATTGGATTGATCTATCGATTTAGAAAATTTCATCGAGAGCCCTAAGCTTCTCTGTAGGACCGGGATTTTTTGTAACATAATAAAGTAACTATGTCTTTTGCACCATTGTTTTTGAGGTTTATTGTAGTTTTATGTCTCGATTTATTTAATATTCAATACAAGATACTTCATTAATAATGAAGCAACTGATCTGTCCATAGAGGCTATGATAGACGTGGGTGGAAATGCTCTGCTGCTGCCTCACCAGAGAGGGAAGAGAAGTTAACCCTACCTACTGAGTAAATTGAAGGGACTGACTTAATTTATACTTTATTTTGCACGTTGTACAATTGGTTTAGAAATGACACATGCACTTTGCAAACCCACACTGGTGTATGACACATAAGCCTTTACAGGGAAAGGAAGCCCGTTAAGGGGGATTATTATTGGTGACCTCTCATTGGTTGTTCTTGATTGGAATTTACAGCAGCTGTGTGAATTATCTCTTAAGTGCAGAACATAAAAGCCAGGTGAAACACTACCATCATACATGCCCTGTTTAGGTTAGGGGTCAGTTGTAGTTGAAGGCAGCTGCTGGAGTGAAAATGGAGTTAGTACCTGCTGTGTGTTTGTTGTTGCTGTTTTGTTCTGCCTGTAGATCTGAGGATGGCCTATTTTTGGAAGATCCTGAATTAGTGTGGGTGAGAATGGAGACAATGATGAGTAAAGAAATGACACCAGCCCCTGCACCTGAAACCAAATTGTTGAGGAGTGCATCAGGTAGTGGATCACCTGAAGCCAAAAATGTTCCTCAGTATCTGGCTGTCCCAGCCTCTCAGACCCTGAAACAGGTTTTCAAGCCAGAACAGGGTGCCAGAAGCCTCCCTAACTTGGCTAACGAAATGTTACTTGTGACTGCTGCCCCTACTCCGGCAATTGGCGCAACAGCCGGGACAAAGTTGGTTGAAATCCTGTGTCATGTTGACAGAATGTATGTGAGAATCAGGAGAGAGGTCTTTAAGACTCGTGACGCATACAAATACTTGAAACTAGGCACCTGTCCTGTTAACAAAGGTACCAAAGAACATTACTACCTTGAGTACCTTCTGAGAACTGACTGTGGATTTGAGAAAAAGGTTGGTAAAGCTGTTCCTCTCAATTGCTGTATCATTCAGTTAGTTCTATTTTATAACTGCAACCAACATGTGAATGTTTATGTTCCAGAGTCATCCAGATTATCTGTCCTTTAGCAATGTGCTCCACTACAGGCCAACCGGTCCAGTTTTAAGGGAAATGCCATTTGATATTCCCCTGAACTGTAACTATCCCAGGTAAGATTTAGATTAGGTTCTTTAGTTTTAGTATGATTGTGTAATTTAGTTCTATTACAAATCTTAACTACCAGCATTTAAGACCAAGGACATATTGCAAGACTACAGGGCAATCAATGACTTCTGTTTCAAATTTTGTATTGTGAGTTTTCACTTGACTATTGCAGGTTTTTCCACTCCTATAAAGTTGGCTTCTATCCTGATCGCATGGGTGCAGTTTTCAAACGACTCCAACCTAAAACTAGTTTCACCCTTACTCCTCAAGATGGTATGTTCCCATATTTTAAATGCACCATCACCCAGTATTTTCAGCACAAGGCCTGTTATCAGAAGCTAGTCTCCTTTAAAAAAAGGAGCTCTGAAGTGCAGAAAGGAGTGGTAACTTGCAAATGCACATTTCTAAACTTAACCAGGCTAGGAAAGTGCTGCTCCAAGTATAGATGTGCAACTTGAACAGAAGAGGGAGCGCTACAAAATGTACATTATCCTTAGTTTTGTAACATGGTGAGGTTAATGTGGATGATGACGTACTCTGAGGTGGTATAAATCAGGTTCTTTAATGGGCAACAAAGATGTCTGACAAAACTTGTGTGGACAAGGATTACATGGGGTGCTAAATGCACACCTGTATTGACACAAATGGGAAGCTGTTAAATGAATCCAAAGCTAGACAAACCCTGGAGTCAAATATTTACCATTTTAGAAAAGGCACCCTAGCACCTGACTGTCAAGCATTTGTAAGTGTACTCAAAATATGCCAGCATAAAATACTAAAGCATGTTCTACAAGTACTCAGAACTCATCACTGCATATTCTGCTGGAGCTTAAAGGAACCAAATGCATTACTTGCATAGCAAATGTATGCAGCAGCCCTGTGTGTCTCTATTGTCAAGTGATGTCCCTCACTTTGCCACAGCATCAGGTAATGAAATCACTGGAACCAAAACCTTCACCTTGGGCGAGCCGATGTACTTTGAGGTCACGCAACCTGACCGCACTGCACAGTTGGGAGGCCAGAGGATATACATCGACAAGTGCTTTGTGACAGCCTCACGAGACCCCAATTCAAATCCTCAATATACGGTCATTGACAACCAAGGGTAAGGTTTGAAATGATTTCAGTATAAGATGGGCCTGTCACTTGGTGGTTGGAGGTAAATGTGTCTTCTCGACAGGTGCATGATTGATGGCAAAGAGAACGAACAGTCAAGGTTCCTCGCTGGCGCCTCAGAGATGGTCCAGAAATTCAGTCTGGGTGCCTTGATTTTCAAGAATGGCGTTTCCGCTTCCTCCTCACAGGTACTGTCAAGAGGTAGTTGTACAGAGCTCAATGCTGTCAAATAATGAACACATGTAGCCATTAATGCTCATTGTCTTTCAGCAACTCTACATGCACTGCGAGATCTCTGTGGGGACACGTACTCCAACTCAGGGCTCAAAGGCTTGCAATTATGATCCAGCGACCAAAACGTGAGTTGACTCTGGCTAAAGTAAAACCTCACAGGTGTAGCTTGCTTTTGAAGGTCTTGTAGGAGGAAGTGTTTCATGTGTACTTGACTGCCAAAAGAACTCGGTGTGTATTTCCAGTATTGCCAGCTGTGCTCACTGTGATCTGCTTTGTCCATCAAGTTTGCCATCTAATATTGCTGACAACTGTTATGGTTTAGGTGGAAGGAGCTGTACTCTGATGACTCCGTGTGCACCTGCTGTGACTCGACCTGCTCCTTGGCACAGCCTAAGGGTACGTCTTCAACTTGTCTGTCTGTTGGGGAGGGGTCTTGAGGACATCTTGGTATGAAATGCAGTAACTTCAGACATGCTCCCTGACTTGGCACAGAGCTGTTCCTAGGCAGTCGATTCTTGAAGCGTTCACTTTCTACAGGCAATACTGATGCAAATCCAAAAGTACTCATCCCTTGACAATCATGCAGAATCAAAAGCATAAAATGACTCCTTACTGAAAGCTACTCTCTGACAATTATCCTCTTGTATTTTTACAGCTTCTAGGGGTATGATCTCAAGTCACTCTTGGGAGGTCGTCGCAAGCGGCAAGGATGACTATGCAGCGGTTGACCCTCGGATGAATTCCCTTGACACGTTCAGTTTTGTTGACCCCGACGTGGCAGAGCATGAAGACTTAAAGCGATGGGAAAATGATTACTGACAGAATTATGTAGACATGATTTTTAAATGAGAAATGGATCACTTGCTATTATCATGACATAACTCATTCACTCTGACAGAAGAGAATAAAAGCAGAATTTAAAATCTTAATGCTTATGACTCTTTAAATGGCGCAACTGGCATTGTCTGTACACTGCCAGCATATTCATGTATGAGCATGTCTGCATTTCTAAGCATTTCCTGAAAATGTGTCACTGCATCTCTGTAGATACAGTTGTGTACCACAAGGGGATGGAAGAGATTCAGTCTTTGCTTTAGTGAATTCAGCAGGAAGTTCAATAATTTTCTGTGTCAAAGGGTTCCCAATAAGGGCATGGTTCAACTGCTTGTTCTCAGGGCTTCTCTCCATGAAGGGCAAATCTTGTAGCCTGGAAGTCCCAACGTTGGGTTTCCACTGTGACGGGTCTCTCATCAAAAGCAGATGCATTAGTGCAGTTTTGAAATGAACCTCCTTGAGCACACTACTTCCAGACAGTGCTGCCTGTTTCCGGTGAAGGAACTGGGCAATTTCAAGAGTTTGACTGTGGCATGAATTTCCAGGCAGGTGTCTAGACATGTGTTCAAAGAAACTATCAAGATGGCTTGTCAGGGAGTGTCCAGTAAGTATCCAAGTTCATTAGGGAGCAAGGAGTAATGAAGAAATGAGCATCGGTTTTGAATTTAACCACAGGATTCATACTGAAGCTTAGCTTCTTCCCTGATCTAAATCGAATGACTGGAGCATCAATGTAGCAGATGTTTAAGCTGATACTTATGTGAAATCAGTGCCCATGCTTGTTGGTGCATCTGGTAACCAGTGATTTTGACAAGAACGGGGAGTTCTTCATGCAGAGAAGTCATCACAAATATTTTACTTTCTCAGTCTCACAATGCAGCAGGCAAACTATCATCTGCATCGGGAGACTGACAGTGGCAGCCATTTTGGATTTTCTTATTTTCTACCAGTTTTATTTGCATATCTAGCAGCCTCTGCTGGCCTCATCAGCACAATGTGTGAAAGTTCTGTGAAGGATTCGATGATGTTGAAGTTGCACAGCGGACTGACCTCAAAGAAAGTCGTGCTGTTCTTTTCTGCATACGTCCTTGCCTGCTCCGTTGGCACCTGTCACTTGAAAGCCAGGTGCAGCCGGTTGCCCACTAGGATCCTGGGTACACCAGGGGCGTGCTGATGGAAATAAGCAATATTGTTGCTATATTTAGGTGATGTAACCAAATTTTGTTGTATCTCAAACAGGATTTCTAACAGCTATCCTGAATCTCTAAGCTACACTAACAGACATAGTCTCTCTCATGGATGGATGGATATATAGGATTTTCCCTCACCCCATGCATTTGCTGTGTTTCTTGGTCAACCATAAATAGGATTTAGTGTTTTTTGTAGGCTGTTTATCTGTTTTGTTTATGTTTGTTTATCTATTTATTTAAATATTTTTGATATCAAGTACAACCAACATAGTTCATGCTACATACTCTGGTACAGTAGGTGGTGGTATGCACTTTAAAAGTCATGGTTGCAATCAGCCTGAAACAAAAAAAGAAGCAGCATTGTTGTGAGCAAGGGACAACTCAGACGGTCCCCAACTGTGGTAGCTGAAGCTAGGCGACTGCCTTTTGGTTGATTAACCAAGGGCGAGTTTTAGGTCCTCTGTTAAATACTTGGGTAGATGTAAGAAAATTTTACTGAACGTGAAAACGTCAATGTGTGGAAAGTAATAGAGGAATGCCGAAGTAGACTTAACTCATGGTTGTTGCAAGATATTAGTTTATTGGGCCGTATATTTTTGACTAAAATGGAAAGTATCTCAAGGTGTATTTATCCTGCATACTCAATTGCTATTCCTAACAGAGCCATTAAAAAGATCAACCAAATCAATTTTGACTAAATTTGGAGAAGGAAAGTCCACTATGTTAAGAAAACAGAGATGACCAAAACATTTAAAGATGGTGGCCTGCAAACTATTGATTTTGACTTTATGAATGGAACCTTGAAAATCAATTGGTTGAAATTCTTCCTGAACAACAATAACTTTTGGTATCATATCCTCAGAGAAATATTCAAGAATTCATAGAAATTCTACTTAAATGTGATTTCACTATTCAAAGACTTCCAATTAAATTATCCCTTTATCACCAGCAGGTTTGATTTTATTGGAAACTCTTATATAATCACAACTTCACCCCACATAACTCCCCAATATGGAATAATAGATATATTACGGTCAAAAACAAATCGCTGTACAACAAGGACTGGATGGATAAAGGTATTTGGTCTGTGATCCTTCTGTCTAAGACATGACCTCACTGGCAATCGCAATCTTTTTAACTCCATAACTAACGCTCTCCCCAAATCTTTTTTGTGTTTAATTAAGTGTATGTTAATGAATTCCACTCCTGTCACCCCATGTCTCCCTCTACTTTTAGTTGGAGGCATTGTCTTTAATGAGGTAAAAGTCCCTAACAAAACAATTAGAAATTTGTTGATAACATCTCATTCCCTACAATATCCTTTAGAAACTCAATTATTTTCAAAATGTACTATTCACTCGTTACATTCCAAATATTTAAAATTCCCTATATTTCCAAAAGCCAAAGAAATCTATTTTGTGTGTATCCATCCAGCGACTTGGTAAGACAGCGTTTTGGAATAGAAACCAATAATTGTGTATTTTGTGATGACAATGAAACTACTGATCATTTATTTTTCCATTGTATGTATTCTGAAGCGTTATGGCTTGATATACATGACTAGCTTTACCCAAAGGTTTTCCATCTCACAAACTTTTCTCTGAAGGACTTTATCTATGGTTGTGTCATGGACAACAACAAAGATGATTTTCTGATTAATAACATTATCATTCTTGGGAAATTTTATATTCACAAGTCAAGCTTTTGAAAGTGAAACCTTTCACAAAAATACACAAAAAGTGAAAGTTTTGTGTATTTCATAATGAGTTTCTTTCCTTTACAAAAGCCCTTAACATTATGAAAACAAAGAATGCAATGAGGCTTTTTAGTATAATAGCAGAATATGATTTGGGGAAAAAAGCCTTTAGCCTTTTTTTAAAATTTAATTTCCTCTTCTTTTTTGTTTTTCCTATATTTTGATATGCACTTGATCCTTTCTGCAGTTTGCGAAACCCAATGCCATGTTTTTGTATATGGAATAATTTTCAATAAAAAAAAAAATAAAAAAAACAAGGGCGAGTTCAGCGCCGACAAAACGTCATCTGAAACGGTGTTTCCCTGAACACCCTGTTGTATACGCAAACGCACTGCATGGGCCTTTCTCATTTTCCAAATTTCCACCTCCACGACTCCTCAAGGCGCATTTTAGTCCTGCCCACCCGAGATGCAAGCTCGACGAGTCGAGGAGGAGACGCGAGGAGAGAGGAGTTGAGGAAACGGGCATTTAACAAACGTCATTTTAAAGTGATGACAATTAAATATGACCTGTTGCACAGCTGCATCATCTCTGTCAGAGCAGCAGACCAGCTTTTGGCACTAAAGGCTACAGATCATTTCTTCACAATCCAGAAACATGTCTGTTAACATTATAACATGTAGAAACATCTCAAGGTTCTGTTGAAAACAGTCAGATTACAGCAGCCTAATCATTCACTAGGCTACACTTTTTTGCGGTGCGCCTTTTGTCTGTAAACTCATTACAGCCCTCAGCTTGATCCATCCATCCATCGTCAACCGCTTATCCTGTATGTAATGCTAAAAGGCTCACAATACACCACTTTCCTACCTCGTTTTGTTCAAACCTTCAAAACTTACACAGACACTTTAGGTCACTGCTAATGACGCCGCCTTATAAGTAGAGTTTCTACAGGTTCCCATTCGCATCTTGCTTTTTGGGGGAGGTTTTTCTGTTTTCTGTTACAATGGCAATCGGTAAACTGAAGTTGTAAGCACACAAACCTTACTGTGTTTTCCTCTATTTTATTAACCTAATAGAACCAATCCAATATTAATGTACTGACTGTGCTTACTATAAGGTGCAACGTCTGCAGGCTTGAGAAAGGAGGATGGTTGGTGTGTGTGAACAAATACAAGCTTTGAATTTGCAGGTCATGGCAGCACAGCAAAATGGGCATGGGTTTTCTCTAGTTTTTTTAGTATGAGAGTCTCTAGTCTTTTTGCAGGTAATCCATTTAAAATGAGCCAACTTGTTCTGAATTCTATGGCAAACGGCAGCACTTGTAGAAGCAGTAGCTGGTAACGTTAGCTCCTTCAAACTTTGCTACACTTTCCTCCCAGCTTAATTGCTAATGCGTTACCTCTGACATAAATAAAGTCACTGGAAGATGAAGACAGGGTTTTTGGATTAAGGACCAGCAGACCATCATCCACCCGGCCCAAACAACCGAACTAGGCACCACGCGGGTGCAGTGATCGCTCAGAGGAGAGGACAGAGAGCCAGAGAGCCTTGCTGGCCCAGCTTGGACTTAATTCTGCTCCTAAAGATGCAGTCTGGACAAAATGTGACTCATGTTGACCAAACAAATGAATTCAGAGACTGTTTTGTCCACATTGTTACAGAGACCTGCCCCATCAACATCCCCGATCAAGCACTTGGCAGTTGGTCCATGTTTTGATCTGTCAGCGCAAGACTCTAGCAAGATGAGCAGAAGTGGACTCTGTGTTTTACATCGATGATGCTTGGTGCACTAACGCAGTCAAGATGGACTCTTACAATACAATACATGTCCGCGGGTGTATAGCATACGTAGGCCTATATGTTTATAGCTTATGTGTATAAATAACTTTAGAAATTGTTTCATTGTATATTATATTTAGTATAGGCCTAAAATTTATTATGTTGTGTGTTGAAGGAACTACAAAACCTCTCTGTTGTCTGTAAGCAAGCCACAGACAGAAGACTCCCGTCCTCATAAGAAAACCACTCCAAACCTTTTGAGTTGCCTATAGTTAGAGAGATGGGATCTTACTTTGGTCCTAATTAAATCACGCCAATGTAAGATTTGATCTACAAAACTGTTGCACCCATTAAGCTATACGAAACTACCTATTATTGCGTTGTATATCGTTCATCTAAAGAAACGCCTATCATGACCACTTAATTTTCCACTCAGAATCCAGAATGCTGCAGATTTTCTTATCCTTTAGGCATATTTTATTAATTTTTATAGTAGGCCCACTTTAATCTTTTATTTCTCTATGTTCTTTTAACGCACATTCTTGGTGTTCTTTCATCAGATTTTTACTAAAGCACTTTGAATTTCCACTTTGTATGCATTGTGCTTTATAAATAAACTTGTTTATCTATCCCTTTCTTCCTGGGAAATATCAAATGGCAAGACTTACTTGGAGAAAGCTTAAATTCTTCTTCTTCTTCTTCTTCTTCTTCTTCTTCTTTTTACTGGCAACTTGCAACCAGATGGAGCATTATCGCCACCTACTGTTCTTCTTCTTATATGAGGTGCGTTCGAGATGTTAGCGTCTGACTTTCGCCGACTTTACAGTCTAACGTGAGCTGCAGGTGAATGGCTTGCCATATATTTTTAGTCAGTCAGCGCTGCGCAGCGCCGCATGAAGTGAAACGCACCTATGATTTCGGCAGTGTAGACGCTGTTTAGCGTATTACTGCCCTCCACAGGTCTGAGTTAGATCAAAATTCTCACATACAATCCTGTATCATGTAGAAACTGCAGATCTTCTTTGGAGATCAGTTTGTGTTTCTCACTGTGTCCAAACAAACATGCAACAGAAAAAGCCTCAACTCCAAGTCCTGTCAATCTAACAAATAATACCTTTCTTTCTGCTCTATACTTTCTACAGTCTAGGAAAACATGCCGTACTGTTTTAAGGATCCCACATTCAAACAAGCCAAGAGACATGTTTTCCTGTAATGAACAAAGAATCATTTACCCACAATGGCCCAACCCCAATCTACAGAGTTTCACTGAGTCCCTACGGGACAGAGAACTACAAAAACAGTTTTTAACTTTAGGATGTATAGAAAAGAAGTGTCGACCTCGGACTTCCGTTTAACACCCTCTCTGTCATTTTTACTTAATCCCTCTTTGATTATTTCCCTCACTTCCACTCTCCCCATGGATAAATGGTCATCTACTTCTCTGCTTAAGCTTTCCTTTGCAATGTGGTCCACCTGTTCATTCCCCCTCACCCCAGCGTGCCCTGGAACCCAGCAGAAAGTGATCCTGCAAGCAAATCCAATTCCAAAAACCACATTCAAAATGTCATTCACAATGTCAGGACGAGCTGTAGATTGTCCTGCTCTTAAAGTTTCCAGAGCAGCTGCAACCACCTACTGTTTCTTAGTTACATCTGCCTAAATCCTTGTGTTCAGTAAAGTTTGTTGTAGAAAAGATGAGATGTGTTTGAACACCACCTTTCCGGAGTTATTTGAGAAAATTGTTTTAATGTCCATTTGTTTAATTCCTTCATGTCCCAGTCCATTTCTTAAAGCCAGTCTTTCGTTTGAAATATTGAGTGCACTCAGACAGCACATGTTCAACAGTTTATGGTTGACTGCATGCCTCACAATGTCGAGATGGATGTTTTCCAACAAGGTGCAGAGATGACTTTGACTTTGTGTAACCCAGTCTAATTCTGCTAAATTGACATTGTTCTCTCCTGCTCTTCCCCAGTGTCTTTTCCTCCCCCACTTTCTGCTGAATCTTGTATAAATGTCTTCCTTTGTTTTCATTATCCCATAAACTCTCCCACTGCATCTTAACTTTGCTCCTTACGCTTCGATCTCTACTTTGCTAACTGGTACTGCCACCTCAACCTGATTTACTTTCAACCCCATTTTTAGCTAATGTGTCTGCCATCTCGTTCCCTGGGATGCCAATGTGTGGAAGGACCCATAAAAACAGCACAACATCTAGCCAGCAGGACTGTGTTGGAACTTCCTGGTATTGGCATCATGCATCATTACACTTTAAAAAATAAAAATAATAAAATGAACAAAATGTTATTTTAAAACTTACTTACATGCCTCATTTAATGCTTATTAGCCTAGCCCACCTTTCCACATCCACCCATCTTTTTAATGGATTGATCTATCGATTTAGAAAATTCATCGAGAGCCCTAAGCTTCTCTGTAGGACCGGGATTTTTTGTAACATAATAAAGTAACTATGTCTTTTGCAACATTGTTTTTGAGGTTTATTGTAGTTTTATGTCTCGATTTATTTAATATTCAATACAAGATACTTCATTAATAATGAAGCAACTGATCTGTCCATAGAGGCTATGATAGACGTGGGTGGAAATGCTCTGCTGCTGCCTCACCAGAGAGGGAGGAGAAGTTAACCCTACCTACTGAGTAAATTGAAGGGACTGACTTAATTTATACTTTATTTTGCACGTTGTACAATTGGTTTAGAAATGACACATGCACTTTGCAAACCCACACTGGTGTATGACACAAGGGCCTTTACAGAGAAAGGAAGCCCGTTAAGGGGGATTATTATTGGTGACCTCTCATTGGTTGTTCTTGATTGGAATTTACAGCAGCTGTGTGAATTATCTCTTAAGTGCAGAACATAAAAGCCAGGTGAAACACCACCATCATACATGCCCTGTTTAGGTTAGGGGTCAGTTGTAGTTGAAGGCAGCTGCTGGAGTGAAAATGGAGTTAGTACCTGCTGTGTGTTTGTTGTTGCTGTTTTGTTCTGCCTGTAGATCTGAGGATGGCCTATTTTTGGAAGATCCTGAATTAGTGTGGGTGAGAATGGAGACAATGATGAGTAAAGAAATGACACCAGCCCCTGCACCTGAAACCAAATTGTTGAGGAGTGCATCAGGTAGTGGATCACCTGAAGCCAAAAATGTTCCTCAGTATCTGGCTGTCCCAGCCTCTCAGACCCTGAAACAGGTTTTCAAGCCAGAACAGGGTGCCAGAAGCCTCCCTAACTTGGCTAACGAAATGTTACTTGTGACTGCTGCCCCTACTCCGGCAATTGGCGCAACAGCCGGGACAAAGTTGGTTGAAATCCTGTGTCATGTTGACAGAATGTATGTGAGAATCAGGAGAGAGGTCTTTAAGACTCGTGACGCATACAAATACTTGAAACTAGGCACCTGTCCTGTTAACAAAGGTACCAAAGAACATTACTACCTTGAGTACCTTCTGAGAACTGACTGTGGATTTGAGAAAAAGGTTGGTAAAGCTGTTCCCTCAATTGCTGTATCATTCAGTTAGTTCTCTTATAACTGCAACCAACATGTGAATGTTTATGTTCCAGAGTCATCCAGATTATCTGTCCTTTAGTAATGTGCTCCACTACAGGCCAACCGGTCCAGTTTTAAGGGAAATGCCATTTGATATTCCCCTGAACTGTAACTATCCCAGGTAAGATTTAGATTAGGTTCTTTAGTTTTAGTATGATTGTGTAATTTAGTTCTATTACAAATCTTAACTACCAGCATTTAAGACCAAGGACATATTGCAAGACTACAGGGCAATCAATGACTTCGGTTTTCAAATTTTGTATTGTGAGTTTTCACTTGACTATTGCAGGTTTTTCCACTCCTATAAAGTTGGCTTCTATCCTGATCGCATGGGTGCAGTTTTCAAACGACTCCAACCTAAAACTAGTTTCACCCTTACTCCTCAAGATGGTATGTTCCCATATTTTAAATGCACCATCACCCAGTATTTTCAGCACAAGGCCAGTTATCAGAAGCTTTTCTGTGTAGCTTCTTTTTTTAAAATTAGGAGCTCTGATGAAGTGCAGAAAGGAGTGGTAACTTGCAAATGCACATTTCTAAACTTAACCAGGCTAGGAAAGTGCTGCTCCAAGTATAGATGTGCAACTTGAACAGAAGAGGGAGCGCTACAAAATGTACATCCTTAGTTTTGTAACATGGTGAGGTTAATGTGGATGATGACATACTTCTGAGGTGGTATAAATCAGGTTCTTTAATGGGCAACAAAGATGTCTGACAAAACTTGTGTGGACAAGAATTACATGGGGAGCTAAATGCTCACCTGTAATTGACACAAATGGGAAGCTGTTAAATGAATCCAAAGCTAGACAAACCCTGGAGTCAAATATTTACCATTTTAGAAAAGGCACCCTAGCACCTGATCTGTCAAGCATTTGTAAGTGTACTCAAAATATGCCAGATAAAATACTAAAGCATGTTCTACAAGTACTCAGAACTCATCACTGCATATTCTGCTGGAGCTTAAAGGAACCAAATGTATTACTTGCATAGCAAATGTATGCAGCAGCCCTGTGTGTCTCTATTGTCAAGTGATGTCCCTCACTTTGCCACAGCATCAGGTAATGAAATCACTGGAACCAAAACCTTCACCTTGGGCGAGCCGATGTACTTTGAGGCCACGCAACCTGACCGCACTGCACAGTTGGGAGGCCAGAGGATATACATCGACAAGTGCTTTGTGACAGCCTCCCGAGACCCCAATTCAAATCCTCGATATACGGTCGTTGACAACCAAGGGTAAGGTTTGAAATGATTTCAGTATAAGATGGGCCTGTCACTTGGTGGTTGGAGGTAAATGTGTCTTCTCGACAGGTGCATGATTGATGGCAAAGAGAACGAACAGTCAAGGTTCCTCGCTGGCGCCTCAGAGATGGTCCAGAAATTCAGTCTGGGTGCCTTGATTTTCAAGAATGGCGTTTCCGCTTCCTCCTCACAGGTACTGTTAAGAGGTAGTGGTACAGAGCTCAATGCTGTCAAATAATGAACACATGTAGCCATTAATGCTCAATGTCTTTCAGCAACTCTACATGCACTGCGAGATCTCTGTGGGGACACGTACTCCAACTCAGGGCTCAAAGGCTTGCAATTATGATCCAGCGACCAAAACGTGAGTTGACTCTGGCTAAAGTAAAACCTCACAGGTGTAGCTTGCTTTTGAAGGTCTTGTAGGAGGAAGTGTTTCATGTGTACTTGACTGCCAAAAGAACTCAGTATGTGTATTTCCAGCTGTGCTCACTGTGATCTGCTTTGTCCATCAAGTTTGCCATCTAATATTGCTGACAACTGTTATGGTTTAGGTGGAAGGAGCTGTACTCTGATGACTCCGTGTGCACCTGCTGTGACTCGACCTGCTCCTTGGCACAGCCTAAGGGTACGTCTTCAACTTGTCTGTCTGTTGGGGAGGGGTCTTGAGGACATCTTGGTATGAAATGCAGTAACTTCAGACATGCTCCCTGACTTGGCACAGAGCTGTTCCTAGGCAGTCGATTCTTGAAGCGTTCACTTTCTACAGGCAATACTGATGCAAATCCAAAAGTACTCATCCCTTGACAATCATGCAGAATCAAAAGCATAAAATGACTCCTTACTGAAAGCTACTCTCTGACAATTATCCTCTTGTATTTTTACAGCTTCTAGGGGTATGATCTCAAGTCACTCTTGGGAGGTCGTCGCAAGCGGCAAGGATGACTATGCAGCGGTTGACCCTCGGATGAATTCCCTTGACGTGGCAGAGCATGAAGACTTAAAGCAATGGGAAAATGATTACTGACAGAATTATGTAGACATGATTTTTAAATGAGAAATGGATCACTTGCTATTATCATGACATAACTCATTCACTCTGACAGAAGAGAATAAAAGCAGAATTTAAAATCTTAATGCTTATGACTTTAAATGGCACAACTGGCATTGTCTGTACACTGGTACATGGTAAGTGAAAATGTGTCACTGCATCTCTGTAGATGCAGTTGTGTACCACAAGGGGATGAAGAGATTCAGTCTTTGCTTTAGTGAATTCAGCAGGAAGTTCAATAATTTTCTGTGTCAAGGGGTTCCCAATAAGGGCATGGTTCAACTGCTTGTTCTCAGGGCTTCTCTCCATGAAGGGCAAATCTTGTAGCCTGGAAGTCCCCATGTTGGGTTTCCACTGTGATGGGGCTCTGGTCAAAAGCAGATGCATTAGTGCAGTTTTGAAATGAACCTCCTTGAGCACACTACTTCCAGACAGTGCTGCCTGTTTCCGGTGAAGGAACTGGGCAATTTCAAGAGTTTGACTGTGGCATGAATTTCCAGGCAGGTGTCTAGACATGTGTTCAAAGAAACTATCAAGATGGCTTGTCAGGGAGTGTCCAGTAAGTATCCAAGTTCTTTGGGGAGCAAGGAGTAATGAAGAAATTGGCATCGGTTTTGAATTTAACCAAGGATTCATACTGAAGCTTAGCTTCACTGATCTAAATCAAATGACTGGAGCATCAATGTAGCGGCTGTTAAGCTGATACTTATGTGAAATCAGTGCCCACGCTTGTTTGATAGCGCTCTTAATCCATCTGGTCCATCACAAACATCAGTAACTTTCGTTACTTTCTCAGTCTCACAATGCAGCAGGCATATCATCTGCATTGGGAGACTGACAGTGGCAGCCATTTTGGACAGGTTATACGGGTCAAGTGGGCTAAAGGGAATGATATCACACACACCCACCATCTGAAAGTCCTCAATCAACATACCGTCATTGCTATCACACACTCCTCATAGCATCCAATAGATCATTTGCAAACCCCTCTAAAAACTCATCCTCCCTCCACTTGTTATTGGATGATACTTGAATACATTTAGAATGAAATGGCTGCAGAGCGTGGCTGTCTGGTAGCAGCCATGCAGGTCACTGGGAAGGTCCTGGTTTCTTCTATCTTCATTTGGGAATTTCTCCCTAGTTACTTCCTGAAGAAGCGTATGATGGAGAATATGTTCCATGAGTACCAGAGATAATCCCCCTCCCAGTCAGCGATTGTGTTCTCTGAAGTTTCATTTTCTGATGTCTTGGTGTGAAGGTGTGACAGAGGTGATTCTTGTTCTTTGGAGCTGAACATTTCCTTCTCTTCGGGCTTTTCCTGTTGCTTGTGTGGTCCGCTTGGGTCTGTAAAAGAGTCATCTTCTCCCTGTTTACTCCTCTTGTCCAGCTGTAAATTTCCCTTTTGCTCATGGTCAATTTGTGATGTTTTCAGAGCAGTCTCACCTTCACTTTTGGAGTTTTGGTGCTGATCCAAATCTGCTATAAAATATCCCCCTTCTTGTAATTTGTGATCAACATTGTCTTCCTCTGATTGCTGTTTTATGACATTCACATCATCTAAGTCTGACATTTTATCTTTTTCAGTAACTTGCTGATCAGACCGATCAACAAGTTCCTTGGGAGTGTCATCTCCAGGCCCAGCATACATCCTTTCCTTACTGATATGTGCCATTTCATGGTCCAGTTTTTCTTCTCCTCTCAGCAGCCTCTCTTCATGCTTTTGCATGCCCACTGTGGTGATATCACCCCATTCCTCAACCCCGGGGTCATCTCTTGGGTGCGTTAGGAGACCCAGAGCCACCACAAACACTCGCAGCAGAGTGCTGTGCATCGTCAATACTGTCTGTGAATAAGTCAAACAGCATAAAGAATTGTTACAAATATGATATATATATAAGAACAAAAGATTGAATGAAAACCCTTGCAATTATATGTAAAATATACTTTATGGCAAAGCTCACAACGATGCAAAGCAAGTAAGAAAGAAGCTGCTTCCTCGATGGCCTGGAAGCATCTTCTTTCCTCAATTCTGTGATTACATTGTTTGTCAAATGCCATTTATTACTGCTCAACAATAAAGAAGAAGGGATATGGATGTTAGACACACTCCCTAATTTTTCCCTTAAAGGCGTCAGAGCTCCACATTACTCTTCAATAAATATATATTTCTCAGTGTGTCTATAAACTGTACTATTTGGACATCACAAAAGGCCATGCTGATTCATGTCCACTGCATTGGTGTGGCGCGACATACTTCGGGGGTGAACATGTCAAAATCAAGACAAATACAACTGAAACTTTCTGCTGCTTTTCTCTATCAGTTGTGAGAACTGACTGTTTTCATAAAATGAAAAAAACATTCAATCCTCTCACAGAACTGGTAAAAAAATAAAAACGTTTAACAGAACTTGTATGCAAACATGATTAACCAGCTCACCTCTGTTGGGCCCCCGCAACCCTGTACGCAGGATAAGCGTTTGACGACGGATGGATGGATGGATGGACCTCTGTTGGTCCTCCAGAATTTCTCCATCCTGTGCCTCATCAGCACAGTGCGTGAAAGTTCTGTGAAGGATTCGATGATGTTGAAGTTGCACAGCGGACTGACCTCAAAGAAAGTTGTGCTGTTCTTTTCT